TTGTGGGATGATGCTCAACCAACTGAGCCGCACCAGTCAGGGCTTGGAATTTCTTAAATATTTCTGGAATTTGTCTTGGGATGCAATGTAATTACTTAGTATAAATTGGATCCTTTAGGCCTGCTTTTAGGTTCTGTGAAGGCAGGGGCAGAAAAGCCGTGGTCTCAGGCCGGTCTCACCTCACCTCTGAGGCAGTGCCCTTCCTGTCCCTGCACAACAGGAAGGCCTTACATGCTGGCCGGCTGGCACGTAGCTGTTCCCAGCCCATTGAGTGCTGCTGATTGTTCTGCCTGCTTCCTTTGTTGTCTCGAGTTTGGGTGGTTTGCTGAAGGCACAGGCCCAACCAGCCCTGTCGACCTCAAGCGTAGCCGCAGTTCGAGTCTGCAGGCTCCCTCCGCGCTGGCATTTTGCCCGCAGGGTTCAGTCTCCTGGTCCCTCCAAACTGCTCCGTCTCCTCAACTCCAAAAGCCATGGGCTCTGGGCTTCCACCCCCAACACTGCTGCTTGGAAACAGGGTACAGGCAGGAAGGCGGGGCAGTCGAGGGCTTGCTTTGTGTCCTCTCTCCCAGGAGTCTGTTCTGAACTGCCCCTTGTTCAGGGTCTGGAGACCACCCACTGTTTTATCTGTTTTGCCCAGTTTACTGGTTGTTTGAAGGAAGGGGACACATCTGGTTTCTGTCACACCGTTGTGACTGGAAGCAGAACACAAAACCCAGTTTTTATTGAGCTGTTGCTCCACTCCTCCTGCCTTTCTCATCCTGCCTCTGGCAGAATACAGATATTGTCACCTGGGGCTAGATGTCTTCTTACTCTGTTCACAGCGCCACCTCCCACCGCCCTGATGCTCCTCATGCACTGCGCCTGCCACACTGTGGAACACCCCCCGCCCACTACTCTCCAAACTCAGTCCACTGCACAGCCGAGGCCCTACACGCCCCACCTCTGTGCCCCCACCCCACCCCACACTGCGGTCTGTCTCTCCTCTAATGCCTGAGACGGAGGGGACCCTGTCAGGACTCTGGAGGCAGCACCGACCGCTGTTTCTTCTCTTCTCACAGCAGCAGGAGCACCCTGCTCCTGGTGTGCCCAGCCAGAGGGGTGCGAGCTGGCTGCCCGGGGGCGCTCAGGACTCTCATGCTCTTACCTCCTTTCATTGTTCATCCTCAACCACTGCAGGCCCCCTCTTCTCACTCCACTCCCTAGTGGGAGAAACTGAGGCTCAAAGAAGCTGCGTGGCCAGACCAGTATGGTAAGGTTGGTTCCGGCTCTGCTCTGATTTTCCTTCGTCATTGAAAAATAATTTAATTTACAAAAACAGTGTTTGCTGTGTAACAAGTTAGTCTGTCAGTAACCTTTCTCCTGCACACAGGCACGTTTCCCTGAGACAGCCGGTGTCCTCAGCTTTGGCGCTCGCTCTTCCCTTGTCCTTGTGGGCATGAGCAAGCCCAGCCACGCACAGACATAGAATTGAACGTGTTTCAAAAGTGAACTCGTATTGGACACATTCCAGTGCCTCTTTGTCTTTATTGAGATACAGTTCACACCCCAGAAAGTCCACAACTGTGCACTTTCCAAGTACACAATTCAGTGGTTTGTAGTGTATTCACAAATGAGTCCAGCCATCACCACCACCAATTTTAGAACATTTTCATCACCCCCAAAAGAATCTCAATATCCATTAGCAGTCACTCCCCATCCCCGACCCCCAGCCCCACCCCAGCCCTCAGCAGTCACTAACGTCCTTTGTGTCTCTGTTTGCTTATTCTGGACATTTCCTACCCGTGGGGGCACACAGCCTGTGCCTTCCTGCTCTGGCTTCCTCTGCTCCGCAGGGTGTGAGCTGCACTCCTTTGGATAGCTGCGCCGTTTCCTGTGTTCCGCCCAGTGCCCGCACCTAACTCAGTAGACCAGCCGTTCTAATGTCCGTGGCTGGTTGGTTTGGTAAGCACGGCACTGTGACATCCACCCTCGCATTTGCCTCTTTCTGTGCAGGAGCTTGGGCTCCTTCGGTACAAACGCCCAGAAGGGTGCAGCAGTTCCCGCTCCTGCCAAAAGTGCGTTCTCGTTGTCCGGTCACCAGGTTTTTATTAGTGCTGCTCTGAAAGGTGGAAAGTGTTATTTTTGTTTGGATTTGCATTTTCCTAACAGAAATCACTAATCTTTTTTATAAGTCCGTTGGAAATTTACATTTCTTCTTCCTTGAATGGCTTTTTCTTGTTTTTAAATTTTTGAAACATTTAGAACAGAGAAATAATAACCTGTATATTTACTTTGCAAACTTAACAAATGTCTAAATTTTATCATATTTGCTTCCAGTCATTTAAAAAATAAAGTACTGCCCTGGCTGGTGTGGCTCAGTGGATTGAGCATGGGCCTGTGAAGCAAAGGGTTGCTGGTTCGATTCCCAGTCAGGGCAACATGCCTGGGTTGCAGGCCAGGTCTCCAGTGGGGGGACACATGAGAGGCAGCCACATGTTGATGTTTCTCTCCCACTCTTTCTCCTTCCCTTCCCCTCTCTCTAAAAATAAATAAATCAAAAAAATAAAAAATAAAGTGCTGCAGGTAAAGACAAAGCGCTTTTCGTGCCCTCCCCTTTCCCCCTCCCCTGACCTCCCGCCTTCCCCCGCCCAGGACGGTGTTGGAGGATGATGGCCAACAACAGACACCAGGGGGCGCCCTGACGGGAGCCTCACACTCAGCAGTCACTCACTGGCTCCTCAGCGCCCTCAGCGCCGGTGCAGTGTGCAGACTTAGGCCCGGTCAGGGCCCCGATGTACGAGCAGGCAGATGGAGGCGCCCCTCCACTCACATGGCTAGTAAGAGCAAGAGTGAGGAGTCCGCCCAGGCTCCGTGCTCAGAGCCCGTGCCCTTATCTGCTGGATGGTGGCGCTAGATGCACACCTGAGCGTTCGTAAATGCCGTGCGGTACTGTGTGCAGTTCTAGACGGTTCTGTGAGGAGCATCTTACTGGTGTTTCCTTCAGCCTGCTTTCGTGCCCATTCTTTTGTGCCTGCACTCTTGAGGGACACCCAGGGTGGGTTTGTCCATCTACCCGGCCCTTTTTGCTGCTGCCCAGTGTTGTTTCTGTCCCTGCCCCCACCGGCGGGGGTGCAGTTTGTCTCCTGGGTTTTCTTGGTCACTCTAGGCTGGGTAGGATTTCAAAGTGGACTTTCAAGGCCCAGGTAACACACCCTCTCAGCTTTACTAGAAACGGTTAAATGGATGTTTCCCCACCACACACCTGCCCAAAGGTGTCTCGTTTTTATTTTTCTTAGTGATTTGTCAGCATTGCATGCAGAAAACATAAATTTTCATGGAGCAAATATAAATCTCTCCATGGTTTCTGGGTTTCCCATTGTACCACCCAGGGACTCACGGAATTGTCCCCACATGTCTCGTGTTTAGGTCCTTGCTCCACCTGGAACTGCACTGTGTGTGGTGTAAAGAGTGGCTTAATCTTACTTTTACTGTTGACATTTGTCGTAGTTTGGGCTGCCATAACAAAATGCCACAGGCTGGGTGGCTGAAACAGCAGAAACTTGCATGGTTCTAGAGGCTGGAAGTTCGATGGTGAAGGCTCCCTTCCCCACCTGTAGGTGGCGCCTCATCTCGGGTCCTCACAGGGACATGTCTCACTGGATTAGGGCCCCACGTAACCTCAGTGCCCTCCAAAGGACCCATCTTTAAATCACTTTGGGGCTTAGGACAAATTTACAAATACAAATTTCAGGGAGACAGTTCAGTCCACAGCAATATTGATAACTTTCTAAAAGTATAGCCACCTTTAGACCTAAAGGTCAAAACTCCTGTGGCCCAGGGTCGCACTTCTGCTGACTGCTTGGTAAGCCTCCTGTGGGCACGTGGCCTCTTCTCAAGGCTTGCCAGCCTGTGCCCCTCGCCCGACTGGGTGCTGATATGGATCCAGAGCTCCTCGGGGAGTCTGGTGGCCCTGGGAGCTTGGCCCCACACCAGACCCTTCCCAGCAAATACTTACAAGGTGGGAACCGGGCCTCCCTCCCTTGGTTTCTTCTTCATCTTTATGTCTAACATAACTACGCTGTAACTACACAGCTCAGCCAGGCTTCAGAGCCCTGGCGTCTTTGAGGAGAGAGCAGTCAGTCAGCAGCTGCTTAGGAAGCAGCCCACTGCCTGTGCTGCTGGGGGCAGAGCCCTGATGGGCCCTGGAGCTTATTTGCTGGCTGGCTGACAGGGTGGGATCCAGAGCCTGCTTTCACCGTGGGGGGTGTGGAGACTGTGGGCCACAGCCTGGAGGCTCTGGAGGGGGGTGGGGCACACCAGGTGGCAGAACAGCCTAGGAATTGAGGGCAGAAGTACAAGGGTCATCATTTGAAGCATTTGTGAGCTTGAAACGTGAGGGACCACATGGGAGGAAGGGTCACCCTGCAATCAGTGGCCAGCATCAGAGGAGGGTGGGAGACCGTGCATGGGCTGCGACTCAGGCCTGGGGAGGGTGGAGCAACTGGAGCTCTGGTGGGAAGGAGGGGCAGGGCGGGGTGGGGGGCAGGAAGGACGAGGAATGGCTCCGTTGGTCTCTCAGGCACAGAGCTTGCTGATGAGGGTAGGGTTTCCTCCTGTAGGGATGCTAAGGGCTTTCTGTCTAGGGTCAAGTCCTTCTGCAGCGGTGAGACTGGAACAGGGTTTCTGGGTTCTTTGCATTACTCTTAAGTTCTCTAAGTCTGACATTCTTGACACTGGTGAGCACAGCATCTCACCCAGAACTTAGCACAGCAGCGTCCTGTCCCCTGCGGCTCGCTCACATGGGCTGCCGGGTTAGCTGGGCCCTCCCGGTTCAGAAGGCCAGGTCCAAATGGTGGTGCTGGGCTCAGCCATGGTGTGTATGTTGGGCTGTACAAACAGACAGTGTCTACGACCACCTTTCATGCTTGGGAGACTGTCACCGGGGTTAACTCCTTTGGAAGCACCAAAGCCGTGAGAGTCACTCCCGTCCTGGGTGACTGAGAACATGCATGCCATCCCAGGAATCGGTGACCTTCAAGGATGTGGCCGTAGACTTCACCCAGGAGGAGTGGGGCCAGCTGGACTCTCCGCAGAGGGCCCTGTACCGTGACGTGATGCTGGAAAACTACCAGAACCTTCTCGCCCTGGGTAAGATGGCTCCCCGAGGCTCGGAATCTGCGGTCGGGCATCCCGCCACACGCAGGTATCACCGAGTCTCCTTCAGCACCCACACTGACTGATGCCGGGCTCTGCAGGGTGTGGGGACGTGGTCTCTGTGCCCCAGACCCTCGTGGCAGGGCTCTGTGGTACCACTGGCATCCTTGCCTGGCGGTGTGGCTGGTCACGAGGCGAGCCAGAATGGGAGGGTGGATGGGGCCCTGGAAGCCCAGCCTACCTGGAGCTCTCCAAGGGAGACGGAGGCGGGGGGGTGTGTCCATGTCTGTGGGTTCCTCAGAGTGCCTGCTTCAGTTTGGGTTCCCATCCTGAGACCCTCCCCCATCCTTGGGGATGGCACACACCTCTCAGTGCCAGCCCACACTGTTCCGGGGGCCGCCCTGTTCTATCTGCTGGTCTAGAGAGCCTCAGCACAAAGGGCCATGCCACCTCCTCCCCACAAGCAGGGCCTCTGGTCTGCAAGCCGGACGTGATCTCTCATCTGGAACGAGGCGAAGAGCCATGGCAAGTGCCCAGGGAAGTCCCCGGAGGGGAGCCAGGTGAGAGCGGGGCACAGTGGAAGCACGTGGAGCCCCTGCCCCCGCGTCCCTCCCACCACCCCATGAGGCCTTCCCACCACAGCCCCTGCCTCAGCGCCGTCTGCCCCTGCTCATTGCCCCTCTAGACCCCTCCCTCCTGCCTCCCTCCTTCAACACACCGTGGAGCGCTGGCCATGTGCCAGAAGCTGTGCTGGGAACGCAGCTGGAGAACAGGCAAAGACATCTGCCTTCTCATGGTGGAGACAGAAGTAACTTCTACGTGTGTAGGGATAGTGAACAAGCGGTGGCTGTCAGATGGCACCAACGAAGCAGGTGGAAAGTGAAGCAGGACGGGCAGGAGTGCGTGTGGAACCAGAGTCAGTTTGCTCATTGAGGGAAGGGCAGAGGCCGCCTGCTGGTGGGGAGAGGCGGGAGACAGTTCACAGAGGTGGCTCCGAGGAAGACGTCCCTTCTGGGATGCGAAGCTGGCAGAGGCTTCTTTAGCTTTTAAAGAGGTGTGTATATACCTCAGGGGCAGAGAATGCATTTGTAGAGTTCCTCTGCCCCTTCGAACAAGGGACACTTTAAATTTAATTATCGTTTTGGACTTTTGTTTGTCCCGGCCGGCGTGGACCCGGCTTTGACACACAACAGTCTCTTGGTGTTTCAGCAAATGAATCACATCCACAAGCACTTCTCACTTCCTGACCCCCTGCTCTTTTCGGAATTCCCTTCAGGGGTGCCTTACCCTGTTTTTCTCATCTTGCCTTATTGCCAGCTTGTTTGCCTATCTGCTTTCAAGCTCCCTCACTCTGTTGTTGCACTCTCTCTCTCTCTTTTTTTAAAAAAGATTTTATTTATTTATTTTTAGAGAGGAGAAAGAGAAACATCAGTGTGTGGTTGCCTCTTGTGCACCCCCTACTGGGGACCTAGCCCATAACCCAGGCATGTGTCCTGACTGGGAATTGAACTGGCGACCCTTGGGTTTGCAGGCTGACACTCAATCCACCGTGCTGCTCCAGCAAGGGATGCTGCTCTCTTTTCTATGCTTATCTACCCCTCAAGTCTGCGTTCCGGGGCCTCGCTTCTGCCTACTCACCAAAAATTGTGTTTCCGCTTCTTGCAGAATGGGAGCCCAGGCCTGAGGTGAAGGAGGAGCTGGGTCAGCAGTGGGGCCTCTACAAAGAAGAGCCATCCCAGGAGTCGGTTGCGGAGGGGCTGGCGAGGTCCAGTCTCCACAGCCTTGGTCCAGGCACCGGGTGGGCCTGGGAGGGCCCCGTGACTGCTCTGTCACGAGGCGAGGCCGTGCTCTGGAGGCACACGCCTGGTGGCTGTGGGGAGGTTCCCACGGAGGAGCGGTGGCAGGAACACGAGGCTTCAGCGGAGGCTTTTTCCCTCAGGTGCACCCTCTTGGCCCCGCAGAGCGAAGGAACTCTCATTCCTGCAGAGGGGGAGCCTCCTGGCAGACACGCCAAGAATTTCCAGTCCAGCGAGGCTGTAACCCAGCAGCCGAGAACGTGCGTAGGGAGAGATGGTGGCGAGTCCAGTGAACAGGGACAGCCTCCACCCGCCAACCAGTGTCGGGGTGCCGGCCCTGGGGAGGGCCTGTTTGTGTGTGGCCAGTGTGGGAAGGCCTTCCGCCAGAGCTCGTCCCTCGCCCTGCACCAGCGGTGGCACGCCCGGGAGAAGGCCTACCGGTGCAACGAGTGCGGCAAGGCCTTCACCTGGAGGACCAACCTCGTCGAGCACCAGAGGATCCACACGGGGGAGAAGCCCTTCCTCTGCGGCGAGTGCGGGAAGGCCTTCAGCTGCCACTCGTCTCTGAACGTGCACCACCGGATTCACACCGGCGAGCGGCCCTACAAGTGCAACTCCTGCGAGAAGGCCTTCAGCTGCAGCTCGCTGCTGAACATGCACCTCCGGGTCCACACCGGGGAGAAGCCCTACAAATGCAGCGAGTGCGGGAAGGCCTTCAACCAGAGGACGCACCTGACACGGCACCACAGGATCCACACCGGAGAGAAGCCGTACAAGTGTGACGAGTGCGGGAAGGCCTTCACTTGCCACTCGTCCCTGACCGTGCACGAGAAAATCCACAATGGAGACAAGCCATTTAAATGCAACGACTGTGCAAAGGCCTTCAATAACCGTTCACGCCTCACCCTCCACCAGAGGATTCACACCGGAGAGAAGCCCTTCAAGTGCGGCGACTGTGGGAAGGGCTTCAGCTGCCACTCCTACCTGGTGGTGCACCAGCGGATCCACAGCGGGGAGAAGCCCTTCAAGTGCAATGAGTGCGGGAAGGCCTTCAGCTCCCACTCCTACCTCATCGTGCACCAGCGGATCCACACAGGGGAGAAGCCCTTCGACTGCAGTCGGTGCTGGAAGGCCTTCAGCTGCCACTCCTCCCTCATCGTGCACCAGCGGATTCACACTGGAGAGAAGCCCTATAAATGCAGCCAATGCGGCAAAGCGTTCAGCCAGAATCACTGTCTCATCAAACACCAGAAAATCCACTCTGGGGAGAAGTCATTTAAATGTAATGAATGTGGCGAAATGTTCAGCTGGAGCGCCCACCTCACCGAACACCAGAGGACGCACAGGGAGGAGAAGCCCTTTGCCCTCCAGTTCAACAAGCATTTGCTGGGCACGTACTATGTCCCCAGCAGCGTGATGGGTGTGAGCGGCATGGACCCCATAAACTCACTGGATGTGGCTGAGCTCCTCTGTGTGGTTCCGCCCTCAGCCAGCAGGAGCTTCCCCCTGGGCAGCAAACCTGGAGATTAACACTGTGTACTTGTCATCTGGCTTCTGCAGGGTGACTGGGGAGAGCACTGGTTCGTAGGTACTTGCTGCAACAGACACCCTCTTAACAGTGGTCGTCCCCTCCCCAGGAAGGGACCCACTGCAGGGGAGTAGCGTTGAGGGCCAGCTGAGGACGTCCCATGGTCCTGTCTCCTTTGACGGGTTCGTAAGTCACTGACCAGGTGACTAGATCTGTGCTGCAGGTGAAAAGATATGTCAGTTATTGCCTCCTCAGACAGGCTCCTGGCATGATCTCCATCAGGAATTCCATCTGGGAACTGGTGTGTTTAGAATAACACGAAGGAGTATTAAAAACCAGAGTTATGAATGGTATTCCCTCCAAGCAAATGTTACCATGTTCCTGGAGGGGAGAGTAACCTTGGCTGATTGGAGTTTGGGAAACAGTGGATTTCCTGGACTCACCTAAGTGGCTCTACTACAGGGTCATTTGTTAGAGGTGCCACCGATGTCACAGAAGCACAGACTGGCATCAGAGTAGCCAGGTCCTGACACGCAGGCATCACGCCTGGCCACCTGGTCTGCGGTGGAAGGTTGTGAGCGCACAGGCAGGGCCTGGTGCGTGCAGGGAAGGTGGGCGCAGTGTCGGGTGAGGTGTGTCTAGGAGCGTAGCTTCACCCAAGCTGGGGCTGCCTGGAGGGTCTCCCCACGCACCATGTAGCTCGGCTCATCTGCCCCCACAAGGGTGAAGCGCCTCCACAGAGACCACCCCTGCTCCCTGCGGGGCAGGAAGATGGTGTTCACCTGGAATCCTCGTTATTTCTCCTCAGTCTAAGCAAGTCCAAGATGCCTTCTCAGTGATAATACTTTGCATTTGTATAGAGCACTATAGTTTATGAGATGCTTTTTAGTATACTTTTCAAATTATGGAGGCAAAATAACCACGTTTCAGAAAATGTGGAATAAAGGAGAGAAAACCTCCGTAATTCTTAATAAAACTGCATTTTGCACTTTGATACTTATTTCTGCTTTTTTTCATGTTGCATTTTTACATCACTTTAAACATAGTAGGTAATACCACTTTAATCTTTTTTCCCCACTCAGCTGCATAGAAGGACTTTTCTACGTGACTGCCTTGTCTTTGGAGGCTGCCTCTGTGTGGGAGCAGTTTTCTATCAGATGCTCTTCGCTGGATGTTGAGGTTTATTTCCATGTGTTCTGCTGGTATAAATCATTCTTCATGGAGCATCTTTGCATTATACTTCGTTAGCATTTTCCTAGAGTCGGTTTCTAGAAGTGGAAATTTCAAGATAAAGGAAATGAATTGCATAAGGAATCATCTCAGGACGTTGGCTGCATGTTTGCAGAGCGATGCCGTTCCGTTGTGAAGAAACCGATCCACGGTGCTGGCCGGGTGGGGCGCCCCTGCTCGCCCACCCCCGGCCGCAGGCACCGTCCGAAGCTGAGTGTCCAGGCGGCCTTTGCTCAGGGCGTGGGGACGACACAGCAGTGATCCCGGGCCTCTGCCACTCTGTCGCCTTCCTCCAGGGTGTCTGCGGGCTGGCCTGCCATTCTGCGGTCCCTGGGGCCACATCACGTCAGGCACGGGCCCTTCCATGCACCTGTGTGGGCTGGGCACGCACAGTTTCTCTTCGCGGCTGCATTTTTTATGTACAAAGGTTTTCAAACTCTGTTTAATAAGATCTACTTTAATAAGATTTTTTTTTTAAGATTTTACTTTATTTATCTTTAGTGGAGAAGGGAAGGAGAGAGGGAGAGAAATATCAATGTGTGGTTGCCTCTCGTGTGTCCCCTGCTGGGAACTGGTCTGCACCCAGGCATGTGCCCTGACTGGGAATTGAACCTCAGTTTGGTTCACAAGCCTGCACTCAATCCACTGAGCTACACCAGCCAGGGCTGATTTTTTTTCATTTATATTTTTCTTCTGCTCTTAGAAAGCCTCTTCCTTAAGTCCTTTTTTGGTTCCATATTTTATATTTAACTCTTAAATCCTCCATCTGTTCGGGATGTGAAGCTGGAGGTCCCTGCATCATTCCTGAATTGCCTTCCTCACCATTCGCAGACCAGCCTTTTCTGTCACTGTAGCTCCATGATTCCCTTTACTACGTAGTCGGCCCGGGACCACTTTTTTAATCGTTTTTTTTTAAGTTGTATCTGTTTTTCCAGGTGAACCAGGAATCACTTTCTCAGAACTTCTTCATTCCCCTGCATATCTCAGTGGGATTTTGATTAGAATTGACTAGTTCTTGAAAAATTAAGTTCCTTATAATATTGTCTTCACATCAAAAAATGTGGTAAATAACTGTTCATTCAAATCTACCTCTAACCATCAGAAAAGTTTTACAGCTTTCTTCATAGATGTCTTATATTTAATCTTAAGTTCATTCTGGTTTTGTGGGGTTTGAACATTGGGTCTTCCTGTTAGAAGATGTACCAGACCCATGTCGACTGTGCGTGTCTTCTCGTGTGCGTGTTTTGTGCCCAGTGACATTGCTGAGTTGTTCTAAGGTCTCTAACAGCTTCTCAGTGTTTTCTGGGTAAACAGTCATAGCAGCTGGAAATAAAAAGCTTGCCTCTCCTTTCCATATTGATGCCTTCTATTTCATTTTGGGGGGGTAGGTCAAACCATTTTACTGGGGACCTTCCAGGGAGGGTGGAAGGGCTGGGAGGCTGGATCTGATATCCTCTGCCCAGCCGGGATCTCGCCTCCCCAGCTTGCAAGCCGCTGAAAAAGCTACTTCATTTACTTTATTATTTTAAAGGTTTTGCTTTATTTATTTTTACACAGAGGGGAAGGGAGGGAGAAAGAGAGGGAAAGAAACATCAATGTGTGGTTGCCTCTCATGTGTCCCCTACTGGGGACCTGGCCTGTAACCCAGGCATGTGCCCTGACTGAGAATCAAACCAGTAACCCTTTGGTTCCCAGGTCGGCGCTCCATCCACTGAGCCACACACCGGCCAGGGCCACTATTTCATTAGCTTGTTAAAACCCACACTGGCCAACACTTACAGAGCATCACTCTGTTGCTGGCAGTGGTCATCTGTGGCGGATGTGTGTCCATCTCCAAACACTTTGGCCCCGAGGCTCAGTCGTAGCTGGGTGGCCACACAGCCCCCTTCTGACCCATGAAACTCCAGCGGAGGCCGGCCAGAAACTTTAAAGCAGTCTTTGCTTTCCTGAGGGGAAAACTGTTCCTTCCTCCCCTCTTCTCCTTCCTGTCTGGAACTTGGATGCAATGCCCAGAGGTGTAGCAGCCATCTTGCAACCGCGAGAAAACGGAGGACAAAAGCCACACATAGTGAAGTGGAAAAACAAGGCTCCTAGGCCTTGGATGAAATTTTGGAGCCACTGTTACAGCCACCAACAGTCAACTCCCTGAGTTCTTGCCGTTGTGAGGAAAATAAACAGCATAAGTCCATGGGGCACTCCTCACGGGGGTTTCACGCCTCACGGCCACAGCCTCTGGGACTTCATTCCGACTTCGAGGGAGACCAAGCTAGTGTTTCGCGGTCAGGAAAATGCCAGCCGTCACCGTAACTGATTGTTCGTCACATTCACAAACTATCTCTATAGGCCTTGTTTGCTAAGGCTTTAAAAAATCAGGATTTGATGCTGAATTTGACCAAACGCCTTCCCGGGATACCTCAGAAATGGTTATGTGGGTTTCCTTCCTCGTTATAGAAACAGAGTTGGACGTGTAAAGGGATTTTCTAACATACTATCTTTGTGTTATTGGAATAAACCCCATTTAGCAACTGTGCGTTAGTGTTTATTATGTATGGACTCGCTTTTCAAGAGCCGGGGTGTCACAGCAGAACTGCCTGACGGTGAGCCCAAGATTTCACTCTGGTTCGGCCTGTGACTGTGCCCGGGAGGAAGGGTCATGCCACCCCCTCAGTGGCTGGGCTTCGTCAATAGGATCGTCCTTCCCATTTGCTCCCATTTACTAATAAGTGGGGGTGGGGCCTCCCCCAGAGGGAGGCACAGTGGCTGGGGAGACCCCTAACATGTGGGGTGTCCATACAAAGATGCACCAGAGGTAGCTGCTTTCTAGACCACAGGCCAGGACGGGCTTTTATCCAAATCACTGGAATGACAGACACATTACTTTGCAGTCAGGGCGGTTAGTCCATCACTCTTCCTATGCTGCTGCTCCAGAATGACACTTGTTCCTGTCCTGACTGGAGCTGTGACCAGCTGGAGCAGGAGGGAGAAGCCAGGAGCACACATCTTGTCCCGGCCAGGCCCACTCCCAGGGTTCCGGGGCTCGGGTTACTCAGCAAACCGAGTTTCCTGCCAGTTTGCCTGCAGGAAGGTTGTGCCAGAGGGAGCCACAGGCAGACTAGAAGCTGAGAGGAGGGCAGTGGGCCTGCCCGTCCCTCCCCCCACCCCCCCAGCAGCAGAGGGTGGAACGGGGCTTCCTGGAACCAGCGGCACTTTGCCTCGTCCAGAGGTGGAAGCTTCTGTGGGCTAGTTAGGATCCGGTGAGGGGTGAGGTCTGGGTTAGGTTTGGGAGGTTAGGGGAGGTGGTGAGGGCTGGGGTGTCTAGAGGTTAGGGTGGGAGCTAGGGCTGGGATTAGGGTGGGCCATTTCTCCAGCGAGCACTGGAGAAATGGCCCACCATTTCTCTGCTGGCGTGAGAAAAAAACAGGTGTCACGCCTGTGGGTGCTGGTCAGGTGGAAACGGCACATCCCCTTCCACAGTCCGGCAGGCCCTGGATGGCTAACAGGGCCACAGAGCAGCGGGCCAGCCTGCCCTTCTCAGCAGAAAGGTCGCACAGAGCCTGGGTCACTTAGGCACCAAGCCGCCTGGTGCCCTTTCTGTATTCTAATTACATCGGCCTTCAACAAAGCTGTGAGTTTCCAGTTCAGTCCGGTTGGAGATGTCTGTCTCTGGTTCAGTTTCCTCCCCTTGTAGAATCGTTCTGGGGATGGGTTTGTCGGGGGTCCTCTGCCGCGGCTCAGGGTAGGTGCCTCTTTCTGCAGGGAGTCCAGTCAGTGGGTCAGGGTGAGGTCACCTCCTGGCCATTACTTCTGATGGCTTTTGGGGCCTGGGACCGAAGCAGGGAACAGAGACTCCCTGGAGCGTGTGTATCTGCAGCAGCACCGAGAGGGCCCATAGTCACTGTTGGTCCATTTCACTGTGATCCCCAGCCGCTTACAGCACATCGGGGTCCCCAAACCACCTCAGGCTTGATGATTCACTCGAAGGATTCCCAGGACTCCACAACGGTTGCAGCTTACTGCCCTCCAAGGACATGGACTCATGTGTGCAAAGGAAGAAGGAACAGCAGGCTACACCCAGGAGAGACCGGGCATGTGCTCCCAGGCACCCCCTCCCTGTGCACGGCGTGCACGAGGTACACGGGGTCACGTTAACTCCCAGCAGCTGTGTGGTGTGAGCACAGAGCCCCGACCAGAGGAGCTCACCGTGCCTTGGTGGCCAGGGTTCTCCCTGGGGGCTCACCCCAAGGGTTGCAGCCCCCTGTGACCAGCCCCAGCCTCTCAGACTCCAGCCCTCACTTCCCCCTCCTACCCCAGAGCAAAAAGAGGTGTTCACAATAAATCTCCATCTTAAACGAGACTCAGCTGGTCACACTAGTGTGTGGAGCCCAAGGCCTCAGGCGCACAGGCGCTCTTACCCGTAGAGCAGCCCAGAGGCCCAGAGGCGACCCGAAAATAGGCTGGTCTTCGGAATGCGTGTGGTCTGAGCACCCAGGTCTGCTGAGCCCACCACTTCCTGCCCCTGTGTCCTTTGCCCTTGAGGTGGGCCCAGTGGCAAACATTTCTGGCCATTTTCCCTAAGTGTCGGTGCCACAGAACACCTCGCACATTTTCAGGTGAATCGGAGTCTCAGTACAGCGGAGATCAGGGCAGTGGCGGCAGCTGTGAAGGCATTTAGGCCAGGGAGGGTCCACGTGAGCCACCTGTTCTTGATTACGGACCTCAGCATGTCCCCTGGTTCCTGGTGGTCTTCCTACAACCACCGCCCGAGGGTCCTGTGTTGCATAGGGGTGTCTGTTTCCCCTGAATGTCCTGTGCAACGGGGGTCACTCCGGGTTGAAATATGCAACCAGCATGCAGAGGAGAATACCTTCCTCTCACCCCTTATGCTGATAAGGGGACCCCAACCTTGTACTCTTCCCCCCAAAGTGTCTCAGGTTATAAACCCATAACAAAGGCCCAGTGGGGACCAGCAAAGGGAAACCAGCTCAGCACCACGCATGGGCAAAGCCGTCCCGGAACTGGGGAGTCGGTTCACTTACCACAGCCCAAAGCTCATGCTTTGTGACCAAGAGCAAGAGAAGAAGAATCTCAGAAGATGACAGTCCCCCGCTGGCCAGGTAGCTTGGTTGGAGCATTGTCCCAATATGCCAAGGTTGAGGGTTCGATCCCTGGTAAGGGCACACTCAAGAATCAACCAGTTCCGCCAAGATGGAGGCGTAGGTGGAAACACTGTGCCTCCTTGCACAACCAAATTTAAAGATGACAAAGTTTTAGTAACAAAAACGCAGCCAAAACACAGAAAATTGAACTGTATGGAAGTCTGACAACGACGAACCATTCAGCCAGACTGGTAAGAGGGACAGAGCCAGTAGCGGAGCAGGGTTAGCAGGAAGATCCCCTGGAATGACCCAGGCAGTTGGCAGATCCCAGGTGTGGGGTTGCAACGGGTGGATCCAGTGAGGGTGCAAGGCGGCAGGCTGACCCCAGTCACACATTCGAGTGCAGATAAAGTAGCGAAGGAGCGAGCTTTGAGACAGACTGCGCAGGCCCCAGCAGCCGGAAGCAGCAGAGGGAACCGCTATTGCCCCGCTCTGACCCCACCCCACGTACAGCGTCACAACCCAGCGACCTGGGTTGCCCCGCCCCAGTAAACACCTGGGGCTCCTCTCCTCATAAATAACAGTCATGAACAGAGCAAAACATGGCTCAAAAAGAACACAAAGCCCCAGAGCCCATAACTCTAAGCAACCAAGAAATAGCCAACCTATCAGGTGCACAATTCAAAACACTGGTGATCAGGATGCTCACAGAACTGGTCGATTTTAGTCACAAATTAGAGGAACATATGAAGGCTAAACTAATTGAAATGAATGGAAATGCACAGGAACCCAATAGTAATGGAAAGGAAACTGGGACTCATATCAAAGGAGTGAACCAGAAAGGGGAAAAAAATGACCAAATAGAAAAGGATGAAGAAACAAGAATTCAAAAAAATGAGGAGAGGCTTAGGAACCTCCAGGACATCTTTAAACACTCCAACATCCAAATTATAGGGGTACCAGAAGGAGAAGAGGAACAGCTACAAGTGGAAACCTTATTTGAACAAATAATAAAGGAGAAATTCCCCAATCTGGCAAAGGAAATAGACTTCCAGGAAATCCAGGAAGCTCAGAGAGTCCCAAAGAAGTTGGACCCAAGGAGGAACACACCAAGGCACATCATCATTACATTAGCCAAGATTAAAATGAAGGAGGGAATCCTAGAAGCAGCAAGAGATAAGGGGACAGTCACCTACAAAGGAGTTCCCATCAGACTGTCAGCTGATTTCTCAAAAGAGACCTTACAGGCAAGAAGGGGCTGGAAAGAAGTATTCCAAGTCATGAAATCCAAAGACCTACAACCAAGATTACTCTATCCAGCAAAGCTTTCATTTAGAATGGAAGGACAGATAAAGTGCTTCTCAGATAAGATCAAGTTAAAGGAGTTCATCATCACCAAGCCTTTATTATATGAAATGTTAAAGGGACGTATCTAAGAAAGAGAAGATAAAAAATATGAACAGTGAAAGGACAACAAACTCACAGTTATTAACAACCACACCTAAAACAAAAGCAAACTAAGAGGACAGCTAGATCAGGAGCGAACCATAGAAATAAAGATCACATGGAGGATTAGCAACAGGGGAGTGGGAGAAGGAGAAGGGGGGAGAAGGTACAGAGAATAAGTAGCATGAATGGTAGGTAGAAAATAGATAAGGGGGAGGGCAAGAATAGTATGGGAAATATAGAATCTAAAGAACTTGAGATACGTGGTCATAAACTAAAGGGGGCAATGGTGGGGGAGGGGTGTGCAGGGTGGAGGGGAATGAAGGGGGGAATAGAACAACTGTAATGGCATAATCAATAAAATGTATTTAAAAAAAGAATCAACCAATGAATGCATATGTAAGTGGAACAATAAGTCAATATTTCTCTCTCTCTCAATATTTAAAAGAAAAACTTTCCCTTTTATTATTGGCTTTGCCAGATTGGATGCTGAGGACTTGCCCAAGCCACTAAAAATATTCATGTGGCTCAGTGTGTGTGAACATGGGTTTGAAGGACAGACCCATTACTCACAGAAGGATGCTTATCCCTACTCTGTCTCCGTTTAACAGCTCAGTTTGGCCTGTTTTTCAATTCAGAAATGACAAGAAATTCACCTTAGAATGGATTCCTGAAACTTTAACCGGTGACCCATGAAAGCCCCACCCCTAACAAACTGAAATGATGAAGGCCGTTCATTGTACCAGGGGCCAGTATTCTGTTGTTACGACTTGGCTAATACATTCTATGCAGCCCTCCAGGCAACAGCCTCTCAGTCTCCACTCACATTCACTTCTCCTTTTCAGTTTGTTTTAAAGATTTATTTATTTATGTTTAGACAGAGAGAGGGAAAGAAGCATCAATGTGTGGTTGCCTCTTGAGCGCCACCTACTGGGACCTGGCCCGCAACCCAGGCATGTGCCCTGACTGGGAGTTGAACCTGCAACCC